ATATACAGTGGTGCCTCGTATAACGTACTTAATCCGTTCCAGGTGAACGTCCGTTAAGTGAAAAGTCCGTTATACGAAACGCATTTTCCCATAGAAATACATGTTAAAACATATAATTCGTTCCGCAGCATAAAATAACCATACCGTAAAAAAATGAAAATGGAGCAGTCACCAATTATGCCGGGTAGTCAGATGTTGTGAGGAGGAGGTGGAGGAACACTTTTTTCACACATTCATACAGATACAGACTTTTTACACATTGCCGCAGGTCTTTTTTTATTGTTTTTTAATCGGAGTCAGATTCAGGAGAGGCTACCGGAGCTTGCATGGTCAACTCCTCTTGTTCCATCTTTTGTTTTTTGGCAGCTGGCTTCTCGAAAAACATGTCCTAGGTGGTCTGTTTCTCTCTCTCTCTTATTCAACACCTGTCGGAAATGACGGGCAAGGGGGTCATTGTAGAGATCATTGATCCTGTTGGCCTCAGCTCTGTTTGGACAATGAGTGTTGGTAAACTTCTGAACCTCTCTCCCCATTCGACAAGGAAGTTTTTGTCAACTTTCACTTTTCCTGATGATTTCTTGTTTTGTTTCAATTGAAATCACCTTTCTGTTTTTTTAGGAGCCATGATTTGCGCAACACTTGAATAAATGTAAATACCCTGCACTGAGGTGATGCACGTAATAAACAAGGGAGCGAGCCGAATCCCAACGGGAGCTCTGTACTAATAATATATTTTAATAATACTAATATACTATAAAAATAGCAGATTGTCATTGTCAACGGAAAAAGAGTGAAAACATCTTTCACACTTGTTCGCAGAAAGTTTGTTGTTCGAGTCACGTAACGGCCAAACAGAAAGTCCGTTGCTCGAGTCACGTAACGGCCAAACAGAAAGTCCGTTGCTCGAGTCACGTAACGGCCAAACAGAAAGTCCGTTGTTCGCACCGTCCGTTATTCGAGGCGTAACGTTATACGAGGCACCACTGTACTTCAGAAGTTAATTTAGTATCAAAAACGTAAAATATTTGAGTAGCCCAAGACATAGCCAAAGATTGCAGCGCCACAGCACTGGCGAAAATTTAAATTTGCCGACTAAAATTCTTTCGGTTAATTGACTTTCGGATAATCGAAGCTCTACTGTATTACCTTTATTACAAAATGGAAGCTATTCAAACATACCGTAAGCAAATGAGAGGAGTGGGATCCTCCTCGACCCACTAGCACTTAAACGTGATTTTATTTTTTTTGATTTCACTAGAACATAACTGTCAACCGACCATAAACAACACTTGTAAGGTAGCCGACCCGGTGGAGATAGGGGACTTGAAACCCACTCCACGGCACCTGTGTAAGGTTGCCGTCTCCTAGGTGGGATCTATTAATCCCGCGTCAGGATGACTTTAAGGGAAGGTTGTATGTGGGCTGTGACGGAAGAGGAAAATGATGACAAGTGTTTTACACAAGAAGGCCGTTTATTTGTTAACATTTATGCTTACATCGACAATCAACAATCCTTCACTAGGTTCTTCTCGTCGAAGATGCGGAGAGGCGAGAACTTCGGCGTCTGTCTGGCCCCGGGGCGGACGATCGGAAGTTGGAAGCGGCGGTGTCCAAAGTTCTTGGCGACGACACACCACAATATAAGTCACGACCTTTCGTGGAATACAGAGGAGAGCTCCCTCCGACCTAGAATTTCGGATTTTTATAGTTTTTTCTCCCGTTATCCGGATTTCTGATTGGCCCCTCATTTTCTTCCTCGCTTCCCGATTGGTCTCTCTTTTGTTTTGGGATAACCCGAGACCGACTCGGTTCACGGGAAAGGTCCGATTTCAGGTGTCTGCTCGACGCCGTTCTGTCCATTGTTGACAAAATTGCAAGACTCGCGCTCACAATTTACCTCCGTTACTCGCGATTTCTGTCATCTTGGTATTTCAACGATCATATGCAATGATTTATATCTCTTAAATCGTTCTCTCTTTTCCGAAATTGTTTCCCTAGATTGATTGTTTATGAGCGCTGGGGTCAAAGTTCTACCTGCATATGACCACTTGTCTTTGACTTATAACTTTTTATTCCGACATTGACAGTTCGTTTAACACGTGTTCGAGTCAACCGAGATTCGTTGTCTACATTTTGTGCCGTGTTGTTTAGATTAAGGGATTTTCCTCCCCCTCTCATTTTTAATCCATCGTTATTATTTAAACATAAGAATTCCGCGATTTACATGATTTCGGACCTCGGTTGGGTCCTCACACTATTCTGACAAAACGTATATAATTGTAAAGCATTAGAAAACTTTCAATTCGAATATCAAAATCCAATTTAACGCTTTAATTACGACTCAATTTGAAATTAGTTATTACACCGATCCCAAATGACTGATACGTATTGATGTGATATTTCATCTCATGCGGGTTGTTTACGGAATATTAGTTAAATACCGTTTCTATCATAAGATATTTATGTATTCTACATATCCCATATGTTATAACAAGCAGTGACACACTAAAATCTCGTTATGTTGATTACAGTAAGCAGAATTCCTTCTGGAACTAACTGGTTGGTACCTAATCACAGGATTTCAATCACATTAAAGGATTAAGTGATCGTGGTGACACTATTACGTATAAATTAAACGGTAGTTTTCGATCTTCAAAGGAAGTGTTCCATCCGAATGACTTTATACGAAAAGCTAACCCTCTATTTAGGTGTTAGACGGGTGAAGAAAACTCAGAAAACTCCACGTGTTCAGCTCATATATCAGGAGCGAACTGAAAAATTCGATATAAAAGTTGACATTTTTTTCTTTTCTTTCTGACATTTTATAATAATATAAATTTTTTACCATTGTAAAAGAAATGATATATATGTTCACACTACTTCTGCATCGTATTTCGAGCTGTAAAATCACTAAAATGATTCTCATTCGACACTTCTCAAATTTTATTTTCATTTTTCAATGTCTAGTTTTTAAATATTTATTATTATTATAAAGATAAAATGGTAACGTGTATCAGAAATTTATAAATAAGGAGGAACTAATTCATTAAACTTAATTATAGTGTGAAGGAGTTCTGAATTGATAAACACCTTTAGAAATAACTCGATCTTTTTATGTTTATATCCGTCCTAGTTCCTCTGTACAGTTGTCCCTTGATAATCCGACAGGTATGGGACCAAAGGTGTGTCAGATTACCAAAAGTGTCCGGATTACCGAAAATAATTACATATTTCGCATTGTTTTGCTAGCAGTAACTTACAATATTCTCTACTCCAACTGTTCGAACAGAACTGCTCACATAAAACACACGAAATGTGTGTCATCGAGTAAG